ATAAAACAGCTTGAAAACTAGTAGTTATCTTATCTTATAAGCACCCACATTATGTATTTATATTAATTAATAACTTTTTATTGGAAGATCAGATTGTCAATTGTCAGTCAATACTAATAATAATAAATTATCATATAGTCCCATCATAATATATTCTTCATTTGCATTTCTCATTGTAACCATCAGGAGGGTAAAATCAAATATGCAGGCTCTTGCTTTCACTTAACTTTTTCAGTCTTCAGCAAAATATGGAAAATATATATGAAGACAGAAAATATTATTCAATAAATAACCAGATTCGTGTGATGGAGTCAAGTAAAAGTTTATGAATCAGTCCGTCATCTTTTTCCTTTTAAGATTCGATTTTATGAAGATTTTTATTACGCAAAAAACTTGCATTTTGAGTAAATCGGAGTAAATTTTCTTTTATTTTGAAAAGTTAAACGCAGCGAATAAGTGAAAGTGAAAAATATTTTTCTCGATGTTTTATACAAATGTAAGTTATTTCCGAAATATGGTATTTAATGTAGATCTCAAATATAAAAACCAATTTAGGTGTAAAAGTAAACACTTACCAATATATTTAGCTAACTCTTGTGACTCCTAAGTTTTAGATGTCAAGCAAAACCCACATATTTGTATATTCCATCTCTAGCTGCGTGGCTGACGTTGGCGGTTTGTCGAGTTAATGACTTTGGCAGTCGGGAGGAGCAGCAGTGGATGACGAGCCGAGGGCTGATGGCTATGGCTGATGTTTGGGCCTGTCAACGGCTCCGAGGCGTGCAAAAATCATTTTTCTCGCACATTTTTATAAATCACCCTGCCCCCTTTGCGCCAAACTCCTCGTGGCTGCCAAACAATCATCAACATTTATTTATATTTTTCATTTTTCACATTCTCCGAAAAGCCAGCAGGATTGCCTATAATTTCAAGTGTAGGGATGCTGATCCCCTCAAGGTGTCGCTTAGCAGGAAGGGAAAGAAAAGCGGAAAATTCCGACGACTGCCTGCCTGCAGTTGACAGTTAATTATTTGTATAAATCGGTGCAGATGTTGCGGGCATTGAAGGGTTAAATTGTGACGCATTAAATGAATTTGAATATCACATGTGGAAATGTGCGTAAAATTTGGATACTCCGTATGATGAAATCTTTTAAGAACTTTATATCTATTTCTTAAATTATTTAAAAATCCAAAAATGTATAACTTTATTTATTATAAAGAATCAAAAATTTTTTTTATCCTTTATAATCATATGAAACATGTGGAAATGTACGGGATAAGTTTATACTTTGTATGGGGAAAACTTAAAACCTTGTTTATTTCTTAAATTATTTAAGAAGCATACAAAACCGAAATGTCTACAAATAACTTCATTAATATCTTATTGACTTTTGAAATTCAAAACGTTTTAACCATATGCCATACATTTTCCATTTTTTCTTTAAAACCCATCATCTTTTTGTTTATGATGATTGCAATACTCTCTTTTAATTGGAATTGATTTCTGAGCCCTCATCTATCCTCTATTCTCATTTAAATTTCGAACTTAGCATGAAAATAAATTTCTATTTAAAGGTAATATATCAAGCCCCCCGCCCGCTCATCCAACTGGTATCGCATTACAGGATAAGGATAAGAATTGTTCCTGTTGCTCTTTGTTCTGTTATCCTTGAGCCAACCATCTCGTATCCTGAGGCGGCTGCTGCTTTTTCTGCCGCTTATCATGGCCATGCAACTTGAAAACAATAAATATTTTATGGCCCCTTTTTGGCGAACGCATAAATCTTGTCCTGGAAATTGATCCGAGCAACGAACTGAGTACGTGTTCAGAGGGTTAGCAGTGAGGTGCGGCTGCAGAAAGATACAGTGATGCGAGTATCTGTAATACATTTGCCACATTGACACACTGAGCACTTACGGGCTCAGCCCCGCACTCGGGTATTTGCGAAATTTGTCTTATGGCAAGGGAATTTCCCACCCTTCCCACTCCCACTCCCCAAGGTCCCAAAACGCCCGCATCTTATGAGATTTGCACATTGATTTCACCCCCTTTCTGCTTTTCTGCCTTTTTGCCGGGGAGTCTTTAGTAGGTCGCAGATTCAATGCCTCAATGGATTTCGTGTGTGTTCTCAAGTGATAGATTTTCTGGTATTTTCGGGGAACCTTTTGAAGTTAAAGTGTTTAACATTAAACGAATAGAGTTTAACTTGTTGCTACTGATAAGGTAAAACACCTTTGAAATGTATAAATAATACTATAGATTGAGTAATTTATAAATAATTTCAAGATACTGTAAAAATTGAAAGACAGTGGTAAAGACCAAAATGGTAAAGACCACTGCTGATTGTAAATTCATTTCAAAACAAATCTACCTTCTTATCTCATCTAGGTTTCCCATTGAATGTTTCTAGGATTGACATTAGAAATTATCTTCGATTACCATGGCTTGCCTTTTTTCAGCCTTGTCATTTTCGTATCTTCTGTCGTTTGCAAATATTTTTCATTGGATTTTTAATCGAATCGCTTGGAATTCTCTCTTTTCCTCCCACCAACTTTTAGCCTTACTCTTTGGGAACTATTAAAAGTTTGACTATAACTTTTTGGCCAAGCGGCCGCACTTTGTGTCAGGCAAAATCGGTTGCGGCTTGTGGTGGCTATTGCAAATGCCCTAGAGCGAAATTAAAAAGTCCGAAAATGCCATGAATTTGAGGGGTTAGCTGGGGAATTTCGATATTTGCGTCCAGAAAAATCTAACCACACAGTAAATAATATGAAATTCCATTTTAAATATCATTGAATTGACCAATGCTTCGATTAGCAATGGCAGCATGTTGCCAGCCGCAAAGTGTTGCCGAAACAAAACGAGTTTTGAGTCGGAAAGCCATTCATATGATAATGCAGTTTGTAGCTGACATTGCAAATGCTGATAGGGCGACTCAAAGGACGGGAAGGGCGATAACAACATGCATAAATTCATATATTTATGCTCAACAGCTCATTTAATGAACTGCGCATTGTTCGTGCTGATTTGCATAGCAAGTATCTGCGTAGCCGTCGCCGCAAATTGTAGCTGTATCTGCGAGTGTACATTAAAAAAAACGAATAGATTTTTCTTCTCGAAAACAAAGATTTTTTTCTCCAGGTAGATGCTCTTTATTTTAATAAATATTTGTTCATAATACCTTTTTTCAGTTAAAGTTTTAAATATTCCAGTTAAATTAAATTTGTATGTCTATTAGTATTTAAAAATATGTTAAATGGATATTTATTGGTTTTTGAAGCATTTTATGTTATGTCAATTAAGGCAATTTTCGTCTTACCACTATTTTCAACCATTTAAATTATATTTATAATTTAATTCCTTATGTGATATATTTTTCTTAGTGTTCCAGTACTGCTGTATGACAACCTGTCTATGTGTGAGAGTGCGTGTTTGTTTGCTCGTTAAATGCAGAATAAGCTACACTTAATAATTGAATAACACTCAGCTCCACTTAGCTCAACTCCCACAACTGGTCAGTGAGATAAGGTCTCCCTCGTTTCCTCCATCAGCCTCAGCATTTGTGTTTACCTCTCGTAAATACGAAATTTCTAAAATTAATTTCAATTCGTGTCGGATTTGGATTCGGTTATCATGCCCTTTACTATTGCCTCCATCAAAGTGCGAAACATTTGATAAATGTTTATTAATGGCAAAAATAGCACTCGCCTCGCACTCTGGCATTGTTGATTGCACTTTGATCGGGAAATAATTAATAAGTAATCACTTATTTTGTTGCTGGCAGTCTATGAGTAATTTACTGACCAAAAACGATAGGGTCGATATCGTGAGAGAGGTTACGTTTCACTGGATTAAAGACAAGTATGAGAAATAGAAAACTGTGATACTGGAAGAATATACAAATTTAAAATTATCATTTTGAAAGTCATACTAACGTACATACTTGCGAGACAGAAATTAATATTTAATTCTAAATATTTAGTTTTGAACTGAGAGAATCGCATTTTCCAAAACCTGGTCTTGTTATTTATATTAATGCGAAAAGCCGATTAACGATGGACAACTAATTTTGAAGAATATGATTATTCAAAACGCAGAAGGGCAAATGTGTTTTACCTTTTCGCATAAATTTCCATAAATAAAATGAATGTAGTAAACTACTAAACAACTTTGGCTCAGATTCATTTCCATATTGAAAGCGATTGGAATCTATCGATTTATAACATTAACTTATTTTATTTATTGACAATAATTTGTTAGGCACTCAAGTGCAGTATAAAAAACAATTTGAATTGTTTAATAACTGTCAAACTAATGTATATCGACTGGCATTAGTTTTTCTAACTGCCAAGCCAGTTTTAACAACATTACATTACATTATAATTCTAATTATCATTGATAGACTCACAATTGGACTTTGTCTTCTCAAAATACTATTCAAAATAATGTATAACCTTTTATGGCGTTCTAATCCGGTTTTAGGTCTTGAAATTCCCAGATTGCGATTATTAGGTCACGGTGGTCTTAATCTCTAATATATATTGGGTATGCATCTGGAAAATAAACTCGCAATGATTCACAATTTTTTGCAAAGCGTGTGTGTAATTAATAACATGTAATATTTTTCTCTTTCCGGCTGAGCAGAGCAGCAACCAGTTGTTATTCGCGGTGGAAAGAGTTGGAAAAGAGCCGAGCTTGGGCGAATCAATTGGCCTGGCAACATGTTGGATTGTTGGGTTGTTTGTTTACTGGCGAATGGAGCGAATGTTGCTAAGGTGGATCCCCCAGGCGGACTGGTTGGAATAACGACAAAACATCTTCAGTTGCCGCTGGGGGCCGCCGGCTTTGACATCTCGTGCGTAAGTGGATCCAAAGTCAAGACCATTCCGAGCCGGACCCTCCGCTTATCAGGCAACGGCTAGTGACGAAGGCAGGCAGGTTATCGGCGGGCTTAACTAACATTGTGTGCCCCAGTGATTCAATTCAATCGAAAGTATTATACGTGGACGGACGACGAGTGCTGATTATTCGAATATAGTCGACTGGGGAAGTGTCGAATATCTCGCGCTCACAGAAGGTTTCTTTGTTGCCGCCAATCGGGACTGTCATCAGTCAACAATTGTGCCTCGCACCGATCGCATCCACAGAGCTAGACCCTATACTCATTATACAATATATATATAAATTATACCCATTGGACTTAGCCGTAAAATTGGTGAAATGACTGCAAATTTGCTTGTGGCGACCCTAAGTCTGTGCCTACTGCAGTCGGGAATCGCAGAGGGTTTATCTCTGTCGTTTGGAAACATCACACTCTTTAATGTGAACTTCAAGTCGCCCAGCTTTTTGGGTCGCTCAGTAGCCGTGGACAGCAATCTGCGGATCGAAAACGACGTGGATCCCAATATACAGGAGGATTCACATTTGAATACTGTAAGTTGAAATATGCAATGACTACTAAGTCAATACATTTGCAAATTTAGTAACGAGAAAACTAGAACAAGCTAGTAATTATAATACAAATTAAAAGACTAAATATTTTAAATGATAGGTGTTTACCTCTAAATCCCTTGACATATTTGGTCATCGTTTTTGTACATTTGCAAAAAAACTTTTTATTCTGTTTTCCTAATTAATAAATAAGAAAACATCATTATAGACGTAATTATTTCTTAATGGAAAGTATTAAGTGAAATTTATTAACTGATTGATAATTGTTATTATAGCTATAATTTATTTATTTTTGGGTTGCAAAAAAGCATTAGGAGACTTGCCATAAATTAATATAAAAAATATTTTTTCTGAGAAAAGATAACACATTTAATAATGAAAAAAATTGTGTCAAAGATCACAAATGTTACTGATTATTAAAATCCTAGCTCATAACACATAAAACAGTTCAGTACGTGTTCATATATTTAATTCAAATAGATCGATCGAAATCAATTTATTCGAACGTGACGAGATCAAACTGATTAAACGGCTCAGTGTCATAAAAGTCATTGCAAGCGACAATAAAATGAGAAAAAACTTGTTTTTAATTTATAACTTGAATATAAAATTCAATTTCTGTCAAATTATAATTAGTTAAGCAATATTATGGCTTCATAAATATATTAATAGATTATTAACTAAAGATTCTGATAACTATATCTCTGATATCATTAAAATTATAGTACAGTCTTATTAAAAAATATGGCTACCCGGCGGAGAATCATACCGTGGAGACGGACGATGGCTATATACTCACCCTGCACAGGATCGCTCGTCCTGGAGCAACTCCAGTGCTCCTCGTACACGGACTACTGGATAGCTCAGCCACTTGGGTGATGATGGGACCCAACAAGGGACTTGGTGAGTTCAGAGGCTATCTCTTAATGGTCCACACTGATTGTGTTGTTTTGTTTCAAAGGTTACCTGCTCTACGATCAGGGCTACGACGTCTGGATGGCCAATGTGCGGGGCAACACATACTCGAGGAAGCACGTGAAGTATAGCACCCACCACGCCAAGTTCTGGGACTTCACCTTCCACGAGATGGGCAAGCACGATATCCCCAGCACCATTGACTATATACTGAACGCCACGGAGGTCAGTCAGCTGCACTACATCGGCCATTCCCAGGGCACGGTGGTGTTCTGGATCATGGCCAGTGAGCGACCCGAATATATGGACAAGATCGTCCTGATGCAGGCCTTAGCCCCAGTGGCCTACCTAAAGCACTGCCGGAGTCCTGTGGTCAACTTCCTGGCCGAGTGGCACCTTTCGGTGAGCGTAAGTTACCCCATCCTATCAATCCCATCCTGTTAAAGAGAGTTATTGCATTGGATATAGGTTTAATATAGTTATGTGAATGGTTATGAAATGGGTTACACCTTTGGACATAAAGTGTACCAATCATTTGTGCTGACTAATCCTATTAATACACACTAAAAGAGTTGTATAGTAGGGTTTAAAAGTAATTATACGAAATAGTCAATGTCAAAAATCAATCAGAAGATAAAAAAGCTGTTCCTTTAAACTAAAATTAACCGAACTAAATTTAACAAAAATAAAAGAAATTAAGGGGTAAATTGATTTTTGCAATTTTCCCCGATTATATCCAATTCAAAACATCTTTTTCCCTATTCTCTCCTTTGAATTTCTTAATACTCAAATAGTTCCTTTCCACTTTAGTTGGTTCTCAAGATGATTGGCGTGCACGAGTTTCTGCCGAAGAATGAGTTCATCAGCATGCTCAATCGGATCATTTGCGACGAGACGACCATCACGAAGGAGATCTGTTCGAACGTCATCTTCCTGACCACCGGATTCGACAAGCTCCAGCTGAACGAGACGATGCTCCCGGTGATCGTGGGTCATTCTCCGGCCGGAGCTTCCACCAAGCAGATGCAGCACTTCGGGCAGCTGAACAGGTCGGGGGCCTTCCGGCAGTACGACTATGGATGGCTGAGGAACCACTGGCGTTACGGCACCATCGAGCCGCCCAATTACCAACTGGAGAATGTCAGGGCCAAGGTGGCCCTGTACTACGGACAAAACGACTGGCTGGCCCCACCGGAGGATGTGGAAATGCTGCACAGGGAACTGCCCAATGTGGTGGAAAAGTATCTGGTGGAAGACAAGGAGTTCAACCACCTAGATTTCATCTGGGGCATCGATGCCAGGGAACTGCTGTGGGACCGAATGTTGGAGAACATGAGAAATCATGAGAATTCTATTATCTAAAGGGGTATAATATAACAAAATAGTTTTAATTTAATTATTCACAGTATGTTATGCGTTAGTGCGATTTATAGATAGGTATTTATTATGTTGTAGAAATTAAAGAGAGGTTCCAATGAAGAAATACAATAAAATACAATACAAATACAATACTATTACTTAAAATGTAATGCCCATACAATTAATTTTTTTGAAATAATAATACGATTTTATAAGGACCCATTAAAGGATTTCCACAAAAGAATTATTAATAAAAAAATGTGCTATTTTGTATCCTGTTTAAATTCACCACTGTGGACGTTTAACTGACCAATACATTTTTTAATGTGGTTTTATTTGTGTAAAAGAATTTACATATTGACACGAGCAGAATATTTAAATTGGATTCAAAGGTTTATGTGTCTAATTTGTATCGCTTACAAACACTATTTTGTGCATTCGAAAGTTGACTTACTTCAGTTATCACTTGGAACTTATATAGATCGGACTAAAAGAGCTGTCTTCTTAAAAAATCAAAAACTTAAAATGTCGTTAGTGTCGACTAAGAACTTTTTCATAGTGGGCCTTTTTCTAATCTTCTTTCAGCCGAAAACCAATGCCAATTTTAACCCTTTTCAACTAGTTATTCCTCCAAACGTTCTTGAAGATGCGGAATTAGATACGGTAAGCTCGAAATATTATTTACAGACCCTACGATTAACATTAACAATTATATATAAATAAAGCAATTGAGATTTTCATTTAATTAAATGGTTTTTAACATCATATTCAAAATGCCAACTCAGTGGTCTAAATCGGAATTGTTAAAAAAAAACTGCGAGAACATTCCCTTCAAGATTTCTAAATACTAAATGTATCAATTGCTGTTTTGTTATTGGTATTTAGACGAGTTCTTTATATTTTGTAATATACTCTTGTAAAAAAGACCAGCTCAATGTAGATACAAAGTGACTCAAACGGAAAATGAAACACCTCTAAGGTAAATAGAGGTAATTTTAAATGTATGGGCGTGAATATTTCAGAGATTATAGCCTTTTTATAGAGGTCGATATACTCGGTAATTTGCCACGCTTTTCGAAACTCGTGTGTTCCTAATAATAGGTGTACAGAACAACTTCAGAGTCTGAATCTAAAAGCTTATCTTTATAAAGAGATCCGCCCTACTGGTTAATTCTACATTTAATTCTCTCCCCAGTTCCAACTGATTAGTAAATATGGATATCCAGCTGAGAATTACACAGTGCAGACCGAGGATGGATATATACTGGGTATGGTTAGGATCGCCCGTCCTGGAGCGATCCCCGTTCTGATGGTGCACGGACTGCTGGACAGCTCCGCCACTTGGGTGATGATGGGGCCAACAAAGTCCCTGGGTACGATTAGTACTTACCTTTAATTAAAATGATATTAATGTATCTCTCTCGAAGGGTACTTGCTATACGAACAGGGCTACGATGTCTGGATGACCAATGTGCGGGGGAATACCTACTCGAAGAAACATGTGCGTTACTCCACGCTTGACTCGGAGTTTTGGAACTTTTCGTTCCATGAGATGGGCTTGTATGATCTGCCCACCTCAATTGACTTCGTGCTGATGCAAACCGGATTCAGTCAGCTGCACTATGTGGGCCACTCCCAGGGAGCGGTGATATTTTGGGTCCTGGCCAGTGAGAAGCCCGAGTATATGGACAAGATCCTGATGATGCAGGCTTTGGCGCCAGTGGCCTTCCTCACCCACTGTCGCAGTCCCATTGTGAACTTTATAGCCGCTCGGGATGCAGCAGTGGCCGTAAGTCAAAACATTTTATTAAGGAAAATAAAATACACATTCAATCCCCTGTCGCTTTCAGTTCTTACTTAGAACGGCTGGATTTAATGAGTTCCTGCCCAGTAACAATGTGATAAACACATTCAAGAGAATTGTCTGCCACGACACGACCATTTCCAACCATATCTGCCAGAACCTACTCTTCATAATTTTCGGATTCAACAGGGAGCAGCTGAACGAGACGATGATTCCGATCCTGGTGGGTCACACGCCGGCAGGAGCCTCCACCAAGCAGATGCACCACTTCGGACAGCTGAGGAACTCCCGCAAGTTCCAGCTCTTCGACTACGGATTGTGGAACCTCCTGTACTACGGAAGTCTCAGGCCACCTTCCTACAAACTCGAGAATGTTAGAACCAAGGTGGCTCTATATTACGGCAACAACGACTGGCTGGCTCCGCCGGAGGATGTGGAACTACTTTACCAGAGACTGCCCTATGTTGTGGACAAATATGTCGTTCCAAATAAGGACTTTAACCACTTGGACCTGATCTGGGGCATCGATGCCAAGACACTTCTCTGGGACAGAATGATTCAAGTTATGAAAAGTCAGGAACCATACCCCGTATACGACGATTATTCTGATTATATTTTTATCTAGATTTGGTTTGTTGGAAAAATGGGTCTACTTAAAATTTGTTAGGTTGAGGGATAGTAACAGTTATCACGTTTAGGAATAATAATGATAAATAAATCTACCTATTAAAATAACTGTTTTTTTTTTAATTTAATTAATAGACAAAACACGAAATAGTTGCCAAGACACTGCAGCTCAAAAACATTGAAACGATTTAAATTGAATCCCAGTCAAATCGAAATCAACTTAGTCTAAATATTAAGCAATATCAGAATAAATACTAAATAAAAAACAAAATGTGAATTAGTTTTACGCAAGTAATTTCAATTTGTTAAATTGCTTGTTTCTTTTTATTTATTTATTTTCTGTTCGCGTTTAAAAAGTGACTTTCATTGAACACAATTGATGGCCTTATTTGTATATATTTATCATGTTAGCTAAATAACAGGTTTCGCTTCAAACACTATTAAATTTAAGTTCTACAAATAATTAACAATTATGTGATTTATCAATTTAGCAATGCGCTTTTCAGCTTTCACACATTACACGACCTCAATCAATTGCCGCCTTAATGCTATTTCCACATCCATTTCCACTCGCACCAAACTCGTTTAATATATTCTAAACAATGAGAAATTGCTATTTTATGCATATTGATTGCCCTGATTCACGTGAGATGCGATCAGGTCAAGGAGGGGAGGGGCTTAACTAGCTTCGCCAACTAAAATTAGCTGATCGGATCAAAAAAGGCACACGACTAAATTCCAGTGCTCAGTGGCAATTGATCGCGCAACGGGAGTAGTAATACAATAAAATTTTTACGACTTTAGAAGCATTGTAAAATGTTGTAATCTGGCGCCGGACTTAAATATTTTAAAAAGGATGTCAAAATATACAAATATACAAATATATATAAAGAAACAATCTGAAAAATAATTAATTGATTAAATATTACTTTTAATAAAATCGGGAATCATAATTTTTTGGGAAATGTAATAAATAAAATATGTGAAATTAAAGTTTTATACAAAAAATGGTATCAAAACGGATAGTCCGAAGGACTTAGGCTAACACCATTTATTAAATGCAGTATTTTATACTTAATAAATTTTGAAAAAACGAAATAAAATAACCAATGAATTGAAAAAGGGAATAATATTGAACAAAAATAATAAAGTTTATGGAAATTAGAATATAAAATTAATCAGAAAGAAAAAATTGAGGAACCTACTTCGTAATAAAGAATTGAGTAAAATTATTCTACAACAGCCAAGAGATCAGTAACTCGCAAAGAAAGCTTAATGTTATATTATAAATTGGCAATTACACCTAAAACGATGTTTTCGGAAAAATAAAAAGGGACGTGATGAACAATAAATATTAATAAAAATTTATAAATGTGTATCGACTTTAAACAATGAAGTGCATAATAAGTATCAATTTGTTATTGAAATAAGTTTTACTGTATATTAAATTATTTAATTACAAACTGCCTAATAACTTTATGTGTTATCTTATCCGCATATAACATAAGTTTTGATTGTTAGGAAATAAAAAAACTGGTGAAAACTCCTAGCGACATTGGCTAAAGAAATAACAATGATTAAAACAAGGAAACATTACAATTATCTGTAATTTAAAACAATTTCCTACATGCACTATTAACAGAAACAGATCTCGCCTTAAGCACTTGATTGGCCAATTTTGCTTGTTTAATTTAATTCTGTACTCTTCATAGTGCATGTTGCAAATTGCTCTGATCGAGGCAAAGTTATAGGAGAGCAACATGTTTAGAAGCTGTAATTTAAAGTACCTGTGTGGCACCTTGATCTGTCTTAACTTTTATTGTGATATTGTTTTTTGCGACTTAATTAAGGTAGATAAAAATATTTTGGAGGATGCCAATCTGATCACGGTAAGATAATATATCCAATCACAAGGATTTAAAAAGTGAAATTAAGAAATTAAAAATTTCTTATGATTAAATGTATCAAAAAAATATTTGAATTTCCCAGCCGGATCTAATTAAGAAGTATGGCTATCCGGCGGAAACGCACAAGATTCAAGCAAAGGATGGCTTTGTCCTTACGGCTCATCGCATTCCCAAGCCTGGTGGTCAACCCGTGTTAATGGTCCACGGCCTGCTGGACAGTTCCATTGCATTTGTGATCTTGGGACCAGAGAAGTCCCTGGGCTTCCTGCTGAGCGATTTAGGATACGACATTTGGCTGCTGAATACCCGAGGCAATCGGTATTCGCGCAAGCACAAGCGATTCCACCGATACCAACCGCAGTTCTGGGACTTCTCCTTCCATGAGCTCGGGATGTACGATCTTCCAGCTGCCATCGATTATGTCCTGGCGAGGAGCAAGGGCTTCGAACAGGTCCACTATGTCGGCCATTCGCAGGGCACCACATCCTTTTTTGTGATGGGAAGTGAGCGACCCGCTTACATGAAGAAAATCAAACTGATGCAGGCCCTGGCTCCGGTGGCCTATTGGGACTACATCGATTCACCCATTTTACTGACTTTCGTCAAATACATGAGACCCCTAGCTGTAAGTTTAAAGTTTAAAGATGTTCGCAAACTAATTTTTTATTACACCCGATACTTGCAAAGTAAAAGTTTATATTGATATATCGTTGAGAAGTACATATGTTACAGGTAGAACGAAGTGTTTTTTAGCCTATAAAGTTCTGAATTGGATAGAATAACTCTTGTAAACGATCTTGCCGTTCTCTTGGACCCTAAACTAAAATTTTCTAATCACATTTCGTCCATGGTTAATAAAGTCAGAGGAGTGCTTGGATTTATTAAAAGGTGGTCAAAAGAATTCGATGATCCTTATTTGACTAAAACTTTATTTATTTCGCTAGTCCGTCCGATTCTGGAGTATGGGTCTCCCGTCTGGAGTCCACAATACGGAATACATATTGGTCGTATTGAATCTGTACAAAAAAACTTCCTTCTTTTTGCTTTACGGCGCCTAAACTGGGATGCAAATCTTATCTTACCTTCTTATTCTAGTAGACTTCTTTTGATTAATTTACCATCCCTAGCCAACCGTAGAACGATGCTTGGTACTATCTTTATTTATAACCTTATACATGGTGATATTGACTGCCCCGACTTGTTAAGTCGGCTAAACTTTCTGTGCCAAGTAGATTAACTAGAAATTATATTCCCCTAATTTTAAATCATTGTAGATCTAACTATGCCTTGCATGAGCCTTTCAGAGTATTATGTTCTGACTATAATAGACTTTTTCCTGTAATATCAAATCTTGACTCTCTGCCGCTCCTAAAACGATTAATACTTGCTTCATTGGCACAAGATTGATCTAACTATTACTTTTTTCCCCGGACCTTTACCTTTATTTTCCTATCTCGCGTATATCCTATCGCGAATCGTGCCGTACGATACACGGCTGCGCCCCTCGGTCGGTTGGGCGGGTAAGTAGGCCGTGGGACTCCGCGCGAAAAAAAAAAAAAAGAATCAGGACCTAGCCGAGTCGATTTACTGACTATCTAAACATGCTATCTAAACAAAATAAACCTGCGAATTTCTGTTGAAATGGTAGAAATAAGTTTTTGTTCGCTATATATTTCTTTGGTCAATATTTATCGGCGCAACGAAGATTTCCAAATTAAATAAATATATCAGAAGTTATTAAAAATTTAAGTTGTACCCTAGTCAATGACGACTTTCCGCCAGATGGCGCTACATCCTTTTCTGTTGCCGCACCAATAGAATTGCTCTGTTAGGAACATATTTATTTTGGAATTAGTTAACAGAGTAACGGGTATCTTATAGTAATGGAATGATTCCAGCTGATTAGAGCGTTATTATTATGTTTTGCAATCAATAGATTTTATTAGAATGATCACATATTCTCCTTCTTGTCTTTCAGTTTCTGGCTAGATCGTTTGGGCTCTACGAATTCCCTGTCGAGAACGAAGTGTGGCGACGACTTTACCACCAGATCTGCAGCTTTGCATTCCAGAACACGTGCGCCTACTTCATCCAGGAATTAATGGGCGTGGATAACCAACAGTTTAATACCAGCCTCGTCCCGCTTTTCACGGGACACGCATTCTCGGGATCTTCACTCAAGTCCGTGGTGCACTATGGCCAACAGATCCACAGCGGAGGGTTCTTCAAGTACGACTACGACAACGCCTGGGAGAATCGAAGAAGACACGGCGCCGACACTCCGCCACAGTACAATGTGGCTAATGTGGACTGCAAGGTGGCACTGTACTACAGCAAAAACGATCGACTGACCTCCGACATAGATGTAGTACGATTAAGAGACAATCTGCCAAACGTGGTGCACGACTACCTGATCCCGGCTCCCAAATTCAACCACATCGACTTTATTTGGGCGAATGATGTGAAAACCATGCTCTACGATCGAGTGCTGGAAGTCATGCGGCAAGTGGAAAGTGACGAATTGTAGATTGACTATCAACAAATATTAGAGTGTGCCAAAAACAAAACCAAATTTATGTTTGAACAAATTTTTTTTTTTTTATATAACATATATTTTATTTATACGTTAATCAGCCAATTTAATGGCTATAAAACGTAGGGACTAAAAAGAGTAACAATCATAACAGGGAAAAACATAACAGCAGCGATAAATGTCAATATGTTTTTGACTTTAAAATTAACAGAAGTTTTTGGTGATGGTCACGATTATATTTTATTTATTGGGGAATGACTCTCGTTCTTTGTAGCCTCCTTTAACAAATTACAAAGAAAAACGCTTTTTCGGTTTACAAATACACACTTACAATGTTAAAGTTTAATTTACAGAAGGTCGTTTTATACATTTTCCGGTAAAGGTATCTTAATTATCATAAGTAAAGGTGTTGTATAAAAAAGTAAATAAAAGTACATTTACTAAACCACGGGTTAAGCTCAGTACTATTTTTTAATTGAAAAAATAGCTAACTAAATTAAAGTAATTAAACATCAAAGTTATGTGTTCTATATAATAGTCAATTTGTTAAACAATCTTAAATAACGATTAAAATGTTAAGTATCTCTTGTAACAACATAAACATTTGTATATACAGTTTAAATAAATATTTTGTGGTAATTTTTTAATGTTTTTAAAATGAAATGCTGTATTTAAAATTGTACTTACTCATCATTGCGTTAAAATATTAAGTACCTATAGTTCAAATGAAACTGATATTCTATAAATAAAATATTAATCAATACATGTTGAATTGAAGTTATTAATTAATCTTTTTATATAAAAGGATAAATAGTAGAAATGTATTTTTATTCAATTAAATTCTTGTGGATACAGACAAATTTTACTATTTAAATGGAATTTGAATTGCTTGCTTCGTTTTGTGTTAGCTCTAGCATCATTACGAGACTTCATAAGCTGCAATTATGCAACTCACGTGGTCTAAATACTTTACTTTATTGAAATATGTTGGCCAAACACAAGCTTGTCTTAAGTCCGGCAGATTGTTTAAAATAATAATTTGTGTCCAATTAAACTGCAGAGCTTATCTTGAATATGTTTTAGGGATGTAAAGGTTCTTGCCAATATATTTGAAATGCTGTTGCTAGTTTGCTTACTGTCTCACTCAACGGCAGACTTATTGTAAATTACCATGAAACGCATTGAAACATGAAATCAGATTAAATATTTAAATCGGACATGAGGCTTGTGGCTTGCCAAAAAACAGGAGGAGCTGCCAGCATATGCGTATAATATATTTCCATAGGACTGGCGGAAATTTATTGCAAGTACATTTTATTTAAAACTCCATTGCATCTGACACTTGGAAGTAGGGGAACTCCCCTCCAGTTCTGTGCAGTTGCCAAAAAACTGAAATTGCCACTGACACTGCGTGCATATATGTGTGAGTTTCTTTTTTCGGGTGTGCCTGGAAACCACAAGAAAATAAAAGTGTCACTCTATAGATGCAAACTTAATTGTTTGCAGCCTGAGTCCGAAACCAGTAGAACAAACAAAAGCATTTGATATTGTGCCACATAGGACGTGGCTGCCACAAGTTTCAATTTCTAAAATAAAGGCCGAACAATCTGCTCACAAATATATAAAATACGGGTTGATTGCACAAAAGCGAGGTTTATTTTGGAAATCATTTTAAAGTGAAAATCAAACCGGCCAACTTTGAGATGGTGGCGTGAGCGATAAGTCTTTACACTGAGGTAATTAATCGTAATTATTTGCGAAATATGAATATTTCTATGCTAAGATATATTAATCGAATGCACATCTGTTATATTATTTAATTGCACAATATACTAATGATCATAATAGTTATTGTGTAAAAAAAAAATTTTAAGTTAAAGTTTTATGACTTAATTTTTTACTCGACTATTAGCTTTGTCTTGGAATCTTAAAACAAAATATGTATGATTACTAATTATTTATTTTTATGATATAGAGCAGGTTTAAGTAAGCTTGTTTCTTGGTGTATATTTTAAAACACAAAGTAAAGTAATGGGCAACAGTCCAAACAAATATCACTAATATGGTATTTTTATTAATGCGCCATTTTTCATTTTCCTCCTCATCTTAATGTTCCCCCTTCCAAATCCTACTTAAATTCCAGGAATTTTCCTATCGACTAACCCATTCACCAGCTTATGAGCTGTTAAATGTCATCACTGGGAGAACAAGAATCATTTTACACAACTTTGTAAGCTGCAACGTGTCGGCTACTTGATGTGATGCTCCGCCCTACACCCCTTTAATGCATTGTTCTCCGGTCCCGTCGTCTGGGTCTCCTACGTGTCCATGTGTCCGTCTGTGGACTCCGCCCGTGTGTCGCCACCGCCTGGTGGAAATGTCCGGAGATGTCAAAGCCCCGGGTGTTGTTTTTACGCCCGCAGGCAACAGGCGGGACAAGGACAGCCCCAATCCCAATCCCTATTCCAATCCCCTGGAATCATTCAGACGCCCGTCTCCTGGCGCCCGGGAGTATCAATCATGTCACTTGACCGAGCGGAAATCGAGTTCTCACAGAAATGCAAATGGGACTTGGCCTCATAAAGTTTCGAAAACAGAGAGCCGGGAACTTGACACTGAGAACAGCGCTCAGCAGCAAATTAAATTGTCAATTTGGCTTGGGAAATTCGTTAAAATTCTGTGGCCACCATTGTTTAATGCATTTACATGTTGGTCCGGAGTCCGATTAGAAGAGTCCAGAGTAAGGCAAGTCCTTTGTCCAGGATCGCCGCCAGAAACAATGGCCGAGGCCAGAAAACCAATCGAAGTCATTTGAAGATTTGCGCACCGATTTGCATTTGAATAGGCAAATGGGTAAAGTTTGAGTGTTTGGCTTTCTTTTCTCTTTTCCCAGGCTTAGGTCAAGGACCAGCTGCTGTGGTTTTGAAGGGGGCGTGGCCACGCCCACAGCATTGTTTTCCGATTGTTTGGGGAAACTAACAACAAGGGGAACTACACCAGAAAAAGCCTCAAACTCGTTGGCTTGTCAGCTGCAACAACGGGATATGCCTAGAGCGTTGTCTACTTTCGGGGGTCAGACTTCTGAAATTAGAGGAAAATTGTGAGCTCAGTGCAAGTAAACAACTTTCAACTACAATTAAATTTAGATTTTGGTACAATGTTAAATTAAGAGTTAGCCTCGCACTAAATGCATATATATTTTGGGTTGCCTTAAATAAGGATTAATATTTAAATGAATTCACATTCATTATTTAACCGTCAGTCAGTAAAAAACTTAATTAATACTTTTGGCAAACGTGTAAATCGATTCAGACTTTGCAATTATTAGCTGTCACAAAAAATAAATATTAGATTGCCTTGTTTTCATATGTACGTGCGTATAATTTGCTAAAATAACATTTAGAGTGTTATTCTGGCAGGTCAATTGGGTTAAAACTAAACTAAGCTTATCAATAGTATCCATTTTGTAATAGTATCCATTTCATAATTAAAATAGTTATTAAATGCTAGTCTTAATCAACCTAAATTAATCGCTGAACCAAGCTGTCATATTCGTTAAATCAATTAGAGATGTGTTTCCCATCACATCTTCCATCTGCTCCCGATTTCCTTGCATTATTAAACCAATAAGGAAAGTGGAAATAGCAGAGCAGAGTTCGAGAATCGGAAAAACAAAACCAAAAACAGTGGTCCATTCATTTTAACGTTTTTTCCAGCAGTTATGTAGCTAGCTAATTGAAAATAATTTTTACTAACGATACCCGGTGAAAAGAATGCCAAGAAAGAAGTGACTTATGGGGGAGCTGTTCCCCTGAAAACTTAATGAAAAATCAAACCAGTACGTGTGGAGTGGTATTGGGATCTGTCCGAAGCCATGAGGTGCAAGTGCAGGTCGAAGCCACAGAGGTTTTCCCATGGAATCCTTCTGCCAGTTGGTGGGAAACGCATGTCAGGTGAGCAGTCGAGCAGTCAAGCAGCCAACCGGAAGTGCTTAACACCAACACCAACTAACACACACACACACACTGCATGGAAAACAAAATGAAAAACAGAGCTCAAGTAGAACGAAGAAGCACATTCTTCGGTTTAGTTTTCCTTGGCAAACTAGCTGCAAACTAAAGTAAACTAAAATAATTTTTGTAAATACACATCTAGCCATGAAAGGTACTTATGTGTACAAATTCCCTTCCACCTGTGCAGCTGCTGTTGAAGTGCCTGAAAGCCAAGTTAATACTTGGAAATAATTTATCGAGTGCATTTATAATTGATGCTATGTGGTTCTTCTTTGGACCATCAGAGCTCATCCATTGTTTGCTGTTGCCGTGGGATGTGCAGTTTAGTGGGTTGGTGGGAAAATGCACTTTCAATTACTATTGGAAATAAAAGTGAATTTATAACCATTAAATTGAGTTTTATGGTTTATTGGAATTTGCAGTTAAGCTCAGAGTAATGATATGGTTGAAAAGTTATTTGATATCAAATTTATTTGTGGGAGACACCTTTTTAAAGCCTTAATAATTGTGGGACTGGAAAAAACAATCCAATTAACGAGTTTTAATTAACGTTTGCCAGTCAAAACTGCAGATGGGCAGCCCCAGCTAAATTCGCTCACCCAAAAAGTATCTGATTTCATAATCAAATGCGCAATTTGATTTTCAACCAAATTAGTTGAGCACGAAGCCACCAAAAACATCCCCGACTACGAACATTTGAATTGTGTTCACTGCGCTTTCAGTATTCCCATATCGTAGACACTCGTCTCATGTTTTTCTAGCCAAACAACTTTTGTGGCCAACGTTTTTCGGACAACAAAGGATGTGAGGATATAAGGGGAGCTTTACATGTTGCATTACATCAAAATGTCTAAAATTTCATAATTGCAATGAAGTTTCCACCATGGACGACTCCAGATGTGAGATTTGCCTTGGCTTTTCCTGTTTCTACTCCCCCGCAATTGAATACTCGGAACGTATTTAATTATATGTGCTCAGTTTTTGTTTATTTTGAGGTTTGGGGAAGAACTTTGAGCAGCTGTTTTGGGTTGTACCATGCGGTTAAGTTTTTTTTGGTTCCATATACAAAGGATAAGCTTTTATATTGCCGAATGATATGGCATTTTAATTAATTTAATTGCAAATGTTGAAATACTTATCTTTTTTTCACTTGAAAGTTAAAGCAAAATGTTTTTAAGAATGTTAAATTAGGAAAAATTCTTATAAAACAATCAAAAAGTTTTTTCAAGTTCTTGGATGAAATGTGGATAGTAAAAACAAAACGACGGCATCCTGCAACTGAAAACCACAGAAAGAAATAAAAACACCACTTTTCGTAATTTAGAAAATGAACATCGAACGATTTGTCATGGCTCATAACTTCCGCTTTATCTTCGCTTTAACTCGTTAACAAATGTGTCCACGTATTCTACCCCTCACCAAACCTTGAAAACCCAATTTAAGGCTGGTGTCAGTTGGTAAAACACTGAAAACAGAACCTCAGGCGGTAGAAACAGAAAAATTGCCCTGAAAATGACAGAAAAAAAAAAATCAAAAAATCTAATTAAAAATTTGCTGCAATTCGAGATAGTCCAGGGTCCACCCAAAAAGCATTCTTGCCTCGCAGGGACAAACAAAAA